ATTAATCATACAGATTGCATACTGTTAAAAATAAATTCTAGCTTAATACATAAGATAGTGTATATATTAGTGATAATTATAAAAGGTAATTATGGTATCCTGAGTATTTAATTTAATGTAAGTTTACATGAATATTAATTTGGTTTTCAACTGGTGTCCTACTATAAATAAATTTAAAACAAATTGCAGTTAGTGTTTCATTCCCACACTAACTTCAGTTAGTGTCATACACATATTAATCAAAATTTCATACACATTTTATCCAAACATGTATAAAAATTGATAAATTCATATAATCACACAATTTATACCATTTGTCTATCAATATTATATCACAATTCATACAATATCCAACAATAAAATATTAAACTCATAGGCATACACGTATTAATCAGATTTCATACACGTTTCATCCAAAAACATGTTTAGAATATAAAGTAAGCATAATGTGATTTTTTAAAGAAAAAATCAGTAGTTTGACAAATCATATACCATTTTCATACCAATTTAATAATTTATACCATAAACACAGTTAATAGACAATCACACCAATGTTAAAACGCATTCATACCATTTGTATACCATTATTATATCACAATTCATAAAATTTTCAAAATGAAAACATTTAAGCGTAGTCATACACATATCAATCAAATTTTATCCAATAAATGTACAGTTTGGAAACACACTAATATTTTCAAAATAGTATTTTGAAATTATAATAGGCCATCAGTGATTCATATGTAAACGGTATCTGCCTGAAAGAAAACATATGATATTATATATCATCAAATACTTAAACACAAAAAAATTGTACCAAAAGTAAAAAAAAAAAAACTTTTTGTTGTTCTTCTTGTTGATGATTTTGAAGATGCTCCAACTTCTACATTTTTTTTTTCTTTTTTTCTTTTTGATTTCAGTAACAAAATCAAAATCGGAATCAGAAGGGGTTTCAACAATTTTCCCCTTCATCTTCTTCCCCTTCATCTTCTTCCCCTTTTGCATATTTATAAAATTATACATAATGACGATTGAAACAAATGGTTAGGCAATATAATAACAAGTTGTTAGGCAACATAATAATTACTACTATTATGATTCAATTAAAGTGTAACCAGTTGACAATCGACATTCCCAAGGACAATTTAATATAAATTCTATACATAAGCTACAACGCAGTCCTACAGAATAAAATAGGGAAAAATAAATAAATAAAAAAAACATATATAAAGAGGTTAGGTTTAAGCACGATTTATTAAAACTCTCACATTAAATAAGGAAGTGTAATCAATGTAAAATCCCTATAATTGTGTAAGAGATAATTATGGGGTATTCTTTATTTAAATAATTTAATAATAATATAAAATTACAAAAAAATTACTTATTTAATAAAGTAAAATTTAATTAATTTATAAATAATTAGTGATATGTTATAACCCGTAATTAAACTGTTATAAGTAAGAATTTTTTAAAAGTAGATTTAAAACCTGTAATATTGACTCTTAAATGTGTATATGGGGTGATTTTTCCAATCTAGAATCATTCTGTATTAAGTATTAGGAAAATATCTACCAAGACTTATGTCTTAAGTAAAGCATTATAAAAAGTTATAAAACAAACAATTTAACCTAAAATTAGGACAACTTCAGCCGTCAAAGATGGCAGAAGACTCAATTCCTCAAGATATTTCTCATGGCTTCTAGTTAAGTCTTTAAAGCGTTTTAGATGTGTTTCGAAATTTCATAATTCAATTGTGTTGGAACCAAATTTTGTGGATCTCCATTTATCCAATTATTCTAAGATCAATCGTGGTGATACTAAGTTGATTGCATGCGTAGACGACATTTGTTACGCTATAGAAGATCATCATGATGAAGAAGATGGAAATGCCACCAAGTATCATCAAATTGACAATTTTAGTAAGTTGTATGATCGAATTATTAATTGTTGTTTAGCTTATAATTATCATTTTGAGTCGGATAATGGTTTGTTTTGTATATGGGATCTGAAGTATATTGCCATTTGCAATCCCGCTACTAGAGAAGTAAGATTTCTTCCCGATGTTCCTCATGAGGGCGAGGACTTTATATGTTCAATAGGTTTTGCGCCTGAAGAAAACAAGTATAAAGTTGTTGTGACTATTGAAACTTACGGAAAGTTATCAACAACATGAGTTTTTACTTTAGGCATAGATAAATCATGGAGGGAAATAATTAAATATGATGAACATGGTTTTTCTATTGCAGGAAACATATATGGTATTTGCATTAGTGGGATTATCTATCGGGTTAGCCTTGATCCGGACTATAGTATAGTTGCGTTTGATGTAAAATCAGAAATTTTCACAAGTATCACAATGTCGATTGAATTATGTCGTAGTTTTAGCGATTGTGACAATATGCTAATAGAAGTGAATGGAAAATTAGGAATGATGAAATATTCAGATTATTTGCTTGATTACGAGATTTATCTATGGGTTTTTGAAGAAGACGAAGAATGGAAACATGAGATACTTCATTTTCCTTTAGAAAGAGAACCTAATGAGTTTTACTTTGATCCGTTTATGATTCGCAAGTATGGTGCTGAAGAAATTGTATTTGCAATACACATAACATGGAGAAGTCATGATGATGTTTTGGCTTTTTATATTTATGATATGAAGAATAAGAGTTGGAGACATTTTGAGGTTCAAAAATTTCCTGGCAAGATTGAACGTATTTTTACTTATAGTGAAACTCTCTTCTCTCCAAAATATTGGCAGTGTTCATCACCAAGTATAACTACAACATGACGATTATATTTGAATTATATATTGCTTTTATATGTAAAAGGTTATAGTGGATAGCTAGATTGTAATGTGGAGGCTTATTTTGTGGGGATTAATGTAATACATGGTGTGTTTTTTGTTTAGTGTTAATTTGGGTATTTCAACTACATGTGTATCTTATTCTACATGATCAGATTTATCATTAGAAAATGCAAGTGATTCTTTATTTACCCTATGATTTGTAAATATTTTTCTTCTCTTCAACTACAGCCACACTTGTTCAGATCTTTACTCCCTACCATAGGGGGATTTTCAAATATTTTTAAAAAAAAAATTCCCAACAGAAATAAATGGATCGACAATTGGAATAGAATTATTAATGTTTAGCACTTTTATACTTGACATACATTACCATTAATGGAGAAGTCAAGTTTCTTAATTTTCTACAACTCCATATATACAATGTTTCATGTTTGCTGAAGTAGGCAGTTGGAAGTTGGAGAGAGCATAGAGAACTTATGTTGTTAGCCCTAACAATAAATAGCTTTTCCAAGCTGGGAAAACCAACTTGCAAATGTTGAAGGCCTTGTATTTTATATAGCTTCAAGTACAAATCCCAAAATGAACCATATCTCATTTTAGTCAAGGTTGCAGGAAGTAAAAAATAAAAAAAAGTTGCTTTAAGTAAAATAGGAACTCCAACTACCAAAAGTTACTCATAATGTCTCAAAACAACATAACTCAATGAATGTTTGAAATTGCTTGGATAAACATAAGTATTCGACTCAGAGTCTCAAAACATCAACAAAGGAAATAGAAAAAAAAGACTCCTCACTACTACTGTCTATGAAGCCTCTAAATACTACGATAGATGTCGAGACAAGACTCACGACATCTTAACAAAGCAAAAGATAAAGATGTGGAGCCCTCCAGAAGCAAAGAGGTTCACCAAAGCTAGCTGGAGTGCTAATAGTATCAACGAAGCGCCGGTTGAATAACTGCATTTGCATCATGAAAAGATGCAGGTCGAATGACGTCAATACATTGAATGTACGAGCATGCAATAGAAAAACTGAAACATATAAAGCTGGACTGATAACCGGGGAAGACATACTCACCTCAACTCAACTCCAATATGAAACCAATAATAAAAGATGCGATATTAAAAGCTTTTAACATAGTAAATGTCAACTCGAATGTATAAAAATACAATAACATACTCTTTACTCTTATTTGGGAGATATTCTCTAACCGACAACCATAACTATGAGGTAGGTGATGATACAACATCTCGCCCACGCTGCCAGAACTGTCTTATACCTTGCCGGGGTATAGAACACCTCAACTAAGTGTATCCACTAAGTTATGCTTAAAGGTAATAAGGAATCATCTTAAAAGTATGATCATTTACCCATGTTGACATACATGGTTTATGCGGATTTTAAGTTGTCTAAATTCATCCTCATATCGGTGCTCAATACTATTCCCAATAATATATATACTCATGCTCAAATGTATGAAACATAACTCTTTTTCAACTTGAGGTAATTACTCAAAAGATCCTCTTAAAAGAGGCAGTACTCTGAAAACATTTCGAACTCATAACTCAATTTAGAAATTGATATTTCTCTATTTTAAATGTAAAAGTGTTACATTTGGGAATACTTAGTTCCCTTATATTCATAATGAAATATGAAATACGACTCTTCTCATTCTCATACTCATTTACTCAAGATTTAGTTCAAAACTAATATCAATTTCAAAAGAATGCTCAACATGACTCAAAAAGGACTCTTGAACTTTCCTTTTAACTTTACTTTAATTTGAAATGTAAATTAAGAAATGTTATAAGGATATATAGGATCCATCAAGGATTAATGAATACTTTAGGAGTGAATTTCAAGAAGAGAATGTAGGTACGATTTGAGGCATTACACTCGGATCGAAGGACAGAAGAGTAAGGGACCTGGACCCTGGTGTACTGAGTGGCGCAGAGCGCCAACCCCCAAACTATTGAACAGTGTTTGGGGCACACTACTGGCGCGGCATGCCAGGCCCCAAACTACTGACCAGTAGTTTGGGTGCTATGCTGGCGCGGTGCCCCACCCCTCTGCCCAGAAATCTGACGAATTTTCTTTCTCAATTTCAAGTCTTAACTCATCTAGAATCGAATGGTTTCTTTCAAACTCTCTTTGATTCATAAACCCAACACAATTTCAATGAATTCCCGCACAAAATCTATCAACAACAACACTCATTCGCAAGATCCTCACCTCAAGAACTCAAAACTTCCATTGTTAAAGAATGAAGATGAAACTCAAGAACTATTCAAGATTCTCATTAGAAACGAATTCATGTAGTAACTCATGGATGAAATTACATGTAGGGTGTGAGGACGAACGAGTTTATCACTGTGGGAAGCTTACATACCTCGAACGAACACTTGTTCTTGGCAAAATCCTTAGTTCTTGAAAGAACGCTTGAAATCTTTCCCTTTTCTCCTCTTGAAACTTGCTCTCAAATCCCTAAACGTTTTTGGAATGTGAGAAATACCTAGCGTCTGATTAGACCCTCAATTTGGGTGAGGAAAACGTGGGTAGGCCTATTGGGGTAAGGAATAGACCAAAATACCCTTTCTTTAAACGGATGAAAATCCTTAACTAGAGAGGCTCCACTCAAGCGGGCATAACTTCTTACTCTTAGCTCAAAATTTAGCAAACTCGGTGGAGTTGGAAAGAGTACTCCAAGACCTTCGATTTGATACCTCATGGGCCACCTAATCCTTTATGTGCTAAAATATATGGTCATTTGAAGTTGACCCAAAGCTAAAAACTGACCGAAGTCTGAGGTGTTACATTCACATTTCTTCTCAGCATCTCTTAAAGCATGGTGTTGATATATATGCTTTGTTTTTCCGTGCTGCACCAGATTTTCAGCCATTGCAATGGCTGATTTAATGTCCACATAGATCACTGTTGGTTCTTTTGGCAACAGATCCAATTCAAACAACATTTTTCTCAACCAAATTTCTTGATTTGTAGCAGATGCAGCAGCAACAGCAGCCACATACTTGTCTTCCTCTGAAGATTGAGCTACAATATCTTGCTTATTTGTGCTCTAAGAAAAAATGCCCGAACCAAGCGAATAACAGTAGCCAGATGTGCTTTTTCAATTATCCAAACATCCACCCCAATCACTATCTAAATAGCCAATAAGAGCTTCATTCTCTGCACTTCTATACTGGATTCCATAATCAATCGTCCCTCTAATATACCTTAACACCCTTTTAGCGACCCCAAAATGCTTAGTGCTGGACTTTTAATTGAAGGATATTTCTAGTAGAAGAGCTGATGTATTGTTTCATATTTGAATTTCTCTTACATTCTACGTTCCCGAAATGGATCCTATCAAATATTTCATATTTTCTATGATTATCTCTATTTCAAGTATTCGGGGAATCCTCCTTAATAGATGAAATATTCCTATTATGTCAATGCCAATTGAATCAATGTTATTAGCTGTGACTTCAAACTTTTTAGTATTTTCTGTTTCTTCCAATGATATGATTGGTCAATCATTTGCTTCATTGGTTCCAATGGTGGCAGTTGTGGAATATATCGAGATAATAAACTGATAGTAAACATTATTTTTGGCCTAGAAGTTGTTAGATACAGTAGGCTTCCTATAAGACATATATAAGCTTTTGGATCTTCCCTCTCTTCGCCATCATCCTTTATTAATTTTCCATTCACAACAAGTGGAGTTGCAATAGCTTTGCACTTGTCAAGCTTGAACCTTTGTAACAGTTTCAAAGCATATCTCTTTTGGGATAAGAAAATTCCATCACAAGATGGAGATACTCCATTCCCAGGAAAAACTTCATTTCTCCTAGATCAGACATCTCAAAAACTTTTAACATTTCATTTTTAACTTCTTGAACCGCAAGAGAATTTTCACCTGTAATCATCAAATCGTTGCCATAAATTGTATCATAAAAACATCCCATCAACTTGTATTTTGAAGAATAGAGTAGGCTCATTTAGGCTTCTGTTGAAGCCTTGAGACAACAAATGAGTATCCAGCCTACTATACGTCTATAATACCATGCTCTTGGAGTTTGTTTTAGACCAAAGAGAGCCTTTTTAAGCTTGTACACGCTGTCTTCTTCACCTACAACTGTTAAACCCTTAGGTTGTTCAACATAAATGTCTTCCTCAAGCAATCCGTTGAGAAATGTAGATTTGACATCCAAATGGAATATTTTCTACTTGTATTGTGCTGCAAGAGCGACTAGAAATTTTACTATCTCATGCCGCGCGATAGGAGCAAACGTTTCTCCAAAGTCCACTCCAGGCTGCTGAGAATTGCCTTTAACTACAAGTTTAACTTTATTCTTGAAGATGGAGCCATCTGGATTGAACTTTGTTCGGTAGACCCATTTGACACCGATAACGTTCTTTTCTTCTGGCCTAACAACCAACTCCCAAACATCATTTTTATTAATCATGGCATGTTCCTTCGTCATAGCTGAAATCATGGCAAGTTTCTACTCATGATTCTTTTTCCCATAGTCATTTAGCCGCTGGTCCATCGTCGAAGTCCTCTGCCACAACAGGTACTACTTATGACTTTGATCCTTTTTGTGATCAGGGGCGGACTCACATGTGTCTCAGTAAAAAATTACACTGTATATATAAGGTAAATTTTCTGTATTTATGTGAATATATATATTTTTAACCCCCTCAATGACAAGGAAAACGAGATAGCCTAGCGGCAAGTTCCTTCAAAACTAAGTGTGACGTCTAGGGTTCAAATCCTCTTGTTAGCGTTTTACTTTTTTAGTTTTAGTTTTTTTTTTTTTAAGTTCCAATTTCATTTTTTACGTTTTTTTTTGTTTTTTGTTTTTTTATAAAACATGCTAAAAGTGTGGTTTTAAATCCAAAAGAATTCAAGGGTTCCATTCCTTGAAAAAAAAATTGTTGGCTTATTTACACGTTTATACTTTTATACTTTTATTTTTCGAACCCCCTGAATGAAAATCCTGGGTTCGCCACTGTTTGTGATAATGATACCAATTCGGTAAATACTAG